TTTGCTGCTCTAAGGAATCTGGCCCTGTGGCTGTGTATCCCCCAGCAGAACTCACATCTGCCCTGATGAACCCCCCACCATCACTTTAGCAATAGCATGTGCTGCAGGTTGTGCTTGCTAACTTGAAAGGGAGGATGGATTCTTCACCAAAGTGAGGACAAAAAGCATCCTTGTCCTGGATGATAGGTAGTGATTGTGCACTGGTGCTTTGGAGATCATTTGGTTTGAGCAATCTCAAATATGAGTGCAGACTGGGAGAACTCACTGAAAGCAGCTCTGTGGATAAGAATTTTGGAATCCTCATGGACAAAAGGATGGACAGGCACTGGTACAGCTGCCCAGAGAGCTCCGGGTGTCCCATCCATGGAGGTGCACAAGGTCAGGTTGGATGGACCCTGAGCAGCCTGATCTGGTAGGGGGCAACCAGCCCGCAGCAGAGGGTTGAAGCTGGATGGGCTTTGAGGTCCCTTCCAGGCCAACTCAATTCTGTGATTTTATCAGATCTTAAAATTCTGTGCCCCACAAGGTGAGTTGTGCGTATTTGGCTTTCTCTTGTGCAGTAAAATAGTGATTATAATAACCATCATCTGGAAGCATGGTTGGATATGGCCAGAAGTAATTTCTTTGCTCCTGGAATCTCACTTTAACTTTACACTGCCTTCAAAGCATCAACCAGTCTGTTTCTGATATTTATGATATGTAAGCTGGTAGCAGCCTGACCTCTGCCCCTGGTGCAGGGAAATGGAGGTATGCTCTGCTGGGATCAGGCTCTCCACCTTGGACAAGGGGAAATAAGGTCTTTGTTTAAAAATAAAGCCATCACTCCCAGGTTTGTTACTGCCACTCTGAGTTTACAGAACATACAAAAACAAAAATAAAGGTATGAGGACAAGAGAGGAAGGTCAGAATACCAAGTGTCAGAAGAAGCCCATGAAATCTTCTGGTGGTGCGTTTAATCAGCGCTAAGCATTTTTTTTTTTTTTACAAGGTACACACAAACAGTGGAACTGTAAAAAAAAAATATATATATTATATATATATGGAATGCTGTGTACAGTGTGACTGCTTATGAAGAAATTAACATTTGTATCCATTAGAAGGAAACCGAAGGGGAATGTTTAATGGTGGCTCCTCAGCAGCAAGGTGCTTGAAATGAGACCTGGGTGAGGGGTGGATGAGGTTATTCACATGGGTCAAATAGGCAGGATTCTAGATGCAGTGATGTATTTCTTGTTTGTTTGTTTTTGTATGATGGAAACGAAACAGGTGAATAGCTGCTTCTGGTATCTGCTATGAAGCTTTTGCTCTTGGGCCTATTCCAGTCAAACGGTTTTTTCAGCAGCCCTTAATATCCATCTGGGAAGGGTTAACTGAAGCCAATCACTTTGACATCGGTATCTTTTTGTTTCCTTTTTGGTCCAGTATTTTGCTGATGATAAAGCACAGACTTAGTCAATTGAGAGATTCCAGAGCTGCAGAATCAGAGATAATTTAATTAACGGAATTGCTTGTGATTGCCCACTGGGACAGCGGGTAGGAATTGCTCGATTTAATTTGGAGAAACAAAGATCACATGCATGCTAATGTTTGACAAATAACCAGTGTTTGGGTTAAAGTTTTTTGCAAAGGGGAGGCAACCTGTTCCCAGGGGAGATTTCCAAGCAGGTGCTTGCTGAGTAACAGATCAAAGGTACAGATAGGTCCTTTTTCTCTTACATGGCACTTTCGTGCCCTTCTCCTGGCCTTTTATGTGAACAAAAGCAAGGATTTGCTCAAAGAAAGTAAGTTCGGTTGTTTTTTTTTTTGGTACTGACAAGAGGAAGAGCATGTTTTAAACAGTAGAAAAACGTGTATTGGGCACGAAGACTGGAAAGTGCTGTCTTCCCAGTCTCCCAGTAGACTTGCTCTGCGATACCCCGGCTGTGTCTGCCAAGTTTTGGGAGTCATAGGGAAGTGCAGGACCAAGCTTCTTCTCTGAAGAGCCCTTCCTTTTCTTGCTCTGGTGTAAATGTTTGTGGTGAGGCTCCCGTATTTGTGGTGGAGGTAGGTATAGCTTCCCAGTAAGAATGGGACATGCCTTCTTGAGGCATCCTCTGCCACAGAGGAGTTGGTGAGGCTGCTCTGCTTCCTCCTTCCTGGTTGGAGAAGCAGCAGCCCAGGGCCGGATGCATAGCTCCTTGCAGTAGTTGTGCTCAGCAGCTCTGTCCTGAGACTGATGAATGACGTTATCCAAACATGTCAAATCAGAGCATTGAGGCACAAAATTGCTAAAATGGTTCTCCCGCATCCAGCACGAGGTCAAGGCAAAGCAAGGAGCAGGGCTCTGGAGCCAAATTCCTTCTTTGTTGCCATTCCTTCAGCCTCCCTTGGCGTTGTGGCTTGTGGAGTTTGCTTCACTCTGGCCTTGCTCAGCCCTTAAAAACATAGCACAAGCTGCTCCCAGCTGTCTCCAAGCGAACTCGCATGAGGTGTGCATGCAAGAGGGAAGCCTCAGGGAATTCCTGAGATTGCTGCTGCAGGAAGAGTTGCTCTGAAGTGATACTTATCTTTAGGATACAAGCAGCAGGTTGACGGTAAAATGTCACTAAATGGAATGGTATGTGTCCCAAGTGTGCTGGCCACCACGGGAGCCAGACACATGGGAAGTGACTCTCATCTTTATTCCATCCCTGGAGGTAGTTCCAGTTTCCTTTATTTACTAATGTTCTCCCTATTTCCCTTGACCTCATTTCCTCTGGCTTTTCGGAAGCAACCATGCAATTATCGCTCGCTTTGGGTTGACCCTTGGCCCCCATGTCCCTTGTTGCTGCTGCTCCAGGAGGCTTTTCTGAAAGCTCAAGTGCAAAATACTCACTTGTGGCCAAAAACCTCTCTCTGGAGAGCTAGGAGCTGTGCTTTGGGCACAGGATTTGTCCTGAGAGCACACTTAGCAACAAGAACATGGAGTTTAAAGTCTGTCACAGCCAAGCTTTGATCAGCACTGGGAGATACTGCTGTGGCTAAAGCTCCCTCTCTTACCAGTGCACCCTAGTCTTGTTAATAAATGTATATTTAACAATGTCTGGAGCGTATGAAGTGATAATAACTAAATCAATACCTCCCACATTGATTGTCCAGGATCCCTACAGCGTGACGCACGCAGCGGTGCGGTAATTTTCCAGCTAACTAGCACCCTGATCTACAGCCCTCCTATTGATTGGCCATTGTATCAGGCAGCCTCTGAGCATTATTTCTTATACCTCTATTCAGCCTCCTTTTCTGATTCATTCATTTATTAGTGGACAGGTGCGATTATCTGAGAGACTTTCCAAAATTGGCTGATGGGGGTCAGCCATTTAGGCCTCTATAAACAAGCCATTTTGTATCTCCTCTAGTTGTTGCAGTGGCAAATTCTTCCTTTTCAAGCTTTGACCACTATTGGGCTAGGTCTGGAGATGAATTGGCTTTTGCTTGGATCTGCTCAAGGATTCCTCTTTTCCCTCTGCTTACTGAGGCACTTGCTCTTCAAAGGAGAAAGGACAGTTCCATGGATGGTAGGGAATTTAGCAAGGGTTGAGGTTTCTGCTTGCCCTCTGCTTTGGGCAGGAACCTTGCTGCCTTCTAAGTTCCAGTAGCTTCACACATGCAGGAAGGGAGAAACGGATTCCAGAAAGTCAAATTCAGTTGCAGCCTTCATCTAGCATCAGTTTTTTGACAGAGCAGGCTGGAAGGGAAATGATTTTCTCATCCCACAGTAATCTTTAAGTTATAAATAAATAATCCTATTCCTCCCTCAGACAAAACTAACAGCTTTCTACACTTTCTTTGAAAATACTGACAACTCTCCCTCGAGGGTGAGAACCCAAACTGGGATATGATAATAATTTATACCAACAAGCAGGAGCAAGTGGATGTTTCACAGCAGGGAGCTCTGTTTCCTACTAAAGCTCTTTCATTTTGCTCCAAAGAATATTTGTTGATTCCAAGACTTGAATGCACAGTGTCCCTGTTTCCACGTGGTTGCCATCCACCGGGCTACTGTGAGACCTGTATTTCTTTGCCTTTTTTCCAGTTTATGATTTTCTGCTATTTTTTAATAACTCATTTGCAATGAATCTCCTTCTGATTAAAGAGAGCAAGAGCCTTAATGTCAGTGCAATGCTCTGCAAGCCTTTCCTGGGGAGTGCTGGAGGGCCCATGGCTGTATCTGCACTGTGCAGAAATCTGATTTTGCAGCATGCTGGAGTGACACATCCTTGTCTGTAATGCTCCCTGCATCTCATTTGCTAAGCATTACTGCCTGCCCTTGCTTTTAGGTTGGCAAGTTGCTTTTTTCACCAGCCTTGCAGAGCCATGAAAATACACTTTTCTGCCCTCAACACAGTGCCTCTGTGACAAAAGAGATAATGCTGCCCATCAAAAATGACCCTAGGAAATGGGAAAGCAGTGGTTGTAAAGCTGCTTTTATAGCCTCCCTGTTGGCACAATGTCTGTTGCTTTTGGTTTCTCCTTTTCAGTATTAGAAACCAACAAGCTAGAGCACAGCTTAATGTAAAAGCACTGTGTGGATCCTCTGTAATGCAGATCTTTGGTTTCACAAGTTTGATGGTCAGCAGAGGCCTCTATTCTTTAAGGGGAAGAGCAGCTCCTGTTGCCCACACAAAGTTAGCTCACCAGCTTGGAGGAGCGCCCAGAGCCTTGTCCAGTGTGTTTGGTCCCATGGAATCTCTCAGAGGAGACAGGAAAAAACCTAACAAAATCTATTATTTAAGTGTTCACGTCTTGCAGAAACTTGCTTTCTATGCAGTTGGCAACACTGGTCCTGTTGTGCTGTCGTGATGTGTTTGGAACTGCTTAGTAGCAGACCTCCAAGAATTCACATTGCAATTGCAATTTTCAATGCAAGTTTGAATGTTGCTCACTTTGTCCTCAGTTGCTTGCCTGTTGTTAGATCCTTTTCCCCCTGAATTCTTACCGATCTTGTGTGCTCAGTGGTGCTCACTCTCCATCATCTTTTGCAGAATTACAGAAGACTCTGCAGTGACAACATTTGAAGCACTAAAGGCTCGTGTCCGTGAGTTAGAAAGGCAGCTTTCCCGTGGGGACCGCTATAAATGTCTCATTTGCATGGTGAGTAGCACTCCACTTGTGGTAATGAATCAGAAATGCCTTGGTGTCTTTGCCTTACCTTTGCTAAGAAGGGAAGAAGGTTTTTTCCTTTTTCCTTTTTTTGGGGGGAAGAGGGGGAGGGGAGAGAACTCACCCTCATCCCTGTACACTATGAAGAATCTCTTTCCTTTTGAGTGTAAGTGCAAGTTTGTTTTAGAAATTGGAATTTCTGTGTCCTTTAGATTGTTCCGCTGACTTTTATAGCCAAGAAAACCCCCACTTTGGAAGGCTTTCAGGCTCACCAGAGAAAATTCCCAGATACCAGTGTTCTCTTCTCTTTATATACATAAAAGGGTACATTCCATGATCTGAGACCCACCGTGCGATTTGAGAAAAGAAGGTTGCCTGTTTAAAAGTTGTCCTGCTTCCTCTGTGGTGATGCTGTAGCCTCCCTAAAGAAAGGCAGCAGCTCCCTCTGATGGTCTGAGCTTGCAAAGCTTTTCATCTCCTTGTTAGGTCTTCGTTCTGCTGATTGCAGGAGAAAAATCTGCTTGGTAGAGGGCTTCCTCTGCAACTTGAGCTTGATGCTATCTCTTCCCACCTGTGACTTGCGGGTATGGGGATAGCAGTTCCCCTGCCTTGTCCCATGAAAGGCACAAGAGTTCACTGCTGATTTTCAGGCGTTTGTTAGCAATCATAGAAAGCACTTGAGCATGTCTGCTGAAGTAGCAGCAGTGTTATTGGGATATAGTTAAGCTGTTGCCGCAGAGTAGAGTTGTGATAAGGGTTAATCTTACCCTGTTGCTGTTTTTTATATGATCTGGTGACCCTTCTGATGGCAATAACGGCAGGTGGCCACAGCAACTTCAGATGCTCTTGCGATAACTGTGCTGAGCCAAGTCACCACTTGAGTGGATTATGGGCTTCCAGCAGTTCTAGGAAGCCAGAGACTTTCTACCTCTGCTGTACAAACATTGCTATCTCTGCTCAGTTCTTAAGTGGAAAGTCAGCAGAAGTTTGTTAACGTGAGACCCTCTTAATTCTGCTTTGTTTTTTCTTTGCCTCACGCCTCATGGTAGACCAAGGTCAGATCTTTCTTGCTTTGCTAATGGATCATCTGTAGTCTGATGCCATGCCAACAAAGAAGAATGTTGCAATGGGATTGGGAATGAAGAATCAGTAGATTCCTGCTATGGAAATAACCTATTTGCTTCTTCTCCTTCAGGACTCCTACACAATGCCCCTGACTTCCATTCAGTGCTGGCATGTGCACTGTGAAGAATGCTGGCTGCGGACTCTGGTGAGGCTCTTGGCTACTTTTTTATTGGCTAACGGACTTCTCCCTCTCTTTTGGGATACTTTATTTTAAATCACCATGGGGAAAGATGCTTTTTGCTTTATTTTAAATAATCTAAGTGCTGTGCATGCAGGCTTTGAGGTCTTTGCCACTTACCACCCCACTCTAGCTTTGATTTCGGTGAGCTTTGTTTGAGTCATCATTATCAAAGCACAATCCTGCTCACTGCTTGCTCTTCTGCTGCTATGGGGGCAGCCTTGCCTTCCAGCAGTGCCCTGTGTGGCATCCATACAGAGGGAAAGCTGTGGGAATGGAGGCCAAATCCACTGAGATTGCAAGGAATGGGTAGCTTCTGGGAAACCTAATATTCACCTGAAAAAAGCGAATCATCTTCAGGATAGACAATAGAGACAGAGGCTTTTATGAATATGAATCAGTGGGTTTTGGATTATTTGAAATAGCGCTGTGCAGTTTTCAAGCTTATACTGTTCTGTTTGGAAGATTGGGGATTACCTTGAACACTGAGTAGGTGACCCAATGCAGTGGTAATTTATACACGTGCTGAAGGACATCAGGTTGAAATTTAAGGTGTTATTAAATATAGTGTTTTCCTTTCCTTTGTTAAAACTGGGGGCTTTATAATCAGCTTTTCATTTCCCCTGTGCAGCTGATTTTCAGGCTTTCATTTCACTCAGTCAGTTGTGCTTTCTAGTTCTCTTGTTAGCAAGATGATAAGGCGTTGGGCTGCAACAAATGTAAGGGAATGCCACTCCTAAAAAGTGTTCCTGTAAGGCATTACAAAATCTACTTTATAGAACATGTTGTGTTCTTGGAATTACGATTAAGCCAATCTTGCTCCTTTAAATCCTGCCTTTTAAAAGTCATGTCCAAGAAAAGTTACCAGGATGGTGAAGTGCCTGTGGGCTTCAGTACTAATAGCAACTCAATAACTTGGCTATCCCTTGGGCTGTATTTTATAGCTCTTCAGCTACACCCCATCACTACTTAGATTATACAAGCTTTTGTAAACATTTTAGCAGCATGTTATAAAAGACACATATGTGGCCACGTAGCTGTGAGGTGTTTGGATGAATGTGCGCTCTGCAACCTTTGCTAAGTGAGGACTAATCTTGTTCCTCTACAGTGCTTCTAGCAGAGGATAAAACACTAATTTCTTTTTACTCAAGTTCTCTGCTGTCTCCTCTTCCCAACAGCCGTAAGTGATGTTTTAAATCTGTCACACCAATTTCAGATTGTTCTTAGGCTCAGCAAGTTCAGTCAGGTCCCTTTGTTTCATGGTCACCACTGCTCATAAGAACTGGAAAACCTCACTCCAGGTGCTGAAGGGTTGGCATGTCTGGTACCTCTGAGGGAGCACACAGCTCTTCTGCTGACCAGGCGGGATGGGAACAGTCCAGCAGGACAGCATATTAGGGCTTGGCACTTGCATAGGGGAAGCAATTAATAAGTGGCTACTCATGTGTTCCCCAGCCCTAGCCTCTCCCTGCAGCCCCCAATTTATTACACCAGGCCTTTTCACAAGGCATGCTTGCGCTCTTTCCCGTCTCAAAAAAAATCTCCCAGCCTGTGTTCGCATGTTTCTAATGTAACCATTAAAATGTAGCCCGAAGACAGCAATAAAAACCCTGGAACGCCTTGGTGCTTTTGTGTCTTGATCAAAGTCAATGTGTGTAATCTCGTTAAGACTGCCCTCCTTCCCCCCTCCTTTTTTATGAATTTAATGGCATGCAGCAGCTGGGCTCAGTGTTTAATGCTCACCAACCTGCATTGTTCTAATTAAGGTATCTCCTTTTATTTCGGGTACAAAAGAGACTCTTGTTTTTTTTAACAAGCGAGGAGCTGTGGGATAGTGTGTGTAATAATCGCCACTGTTACCTTTCCATGGGAATAAAGCTGGCTCCCCAGCAGGGCAGGAGGGGGATCGGAGGGAGCCTGCGCGTGTAGCACACATGGAAAGACTTGGTCAGGGGAGGGGGGCAGCGTTTTTCTTCTGTTGTGCAATAAACAATTTGTTGGAGTTCATGGGAGCTGGGCCTGGTGGGTTGTGCAGGGCTTCCAGCATTCTGGAGAGCAGCCATCCCTGCTGCTCAGACAGACCATCCCTCATGTGCCTCTGTTCTGTGCACTGACAAAATTTGGTACTGAGTCAGAGTGTGAGTGAAAGAGGAGAGTGGTGTGTTGAGTGTGGCCTTGGAAATGGAGGCTCCATGTGCCTGGGAGCGTTTGTTAACCTGAGTGAGATGTTGAGGATGGGATAAAATCTGATGCTGACATTTATCACGGAGCAAGGGAGAAAAAACTGATTTTCAGAGTTTGGGGTTTTGATATTTTCTAGGATGCAGTACTAGAAGAATCTGAGCATCTCTGGTTTCCTCAGGTAGCTGTCGTGTCTGAGGGCACTGGTGAGGATTAGGTCTGTAGAGCACTTAGGCTTCCTGAAAACAAATCTTGGACTTCGAGTTCTTGACATCCAATTCCAGATTGTTATTGTTCTCTCGCTGGTGGAGAGGGGAAGGCGTTTGTAAACACTGCACATGGCTGCTGGGCTCCTCAGCTCAGGTACTGGAGCTCAGTGCACCAGACTGACTCCAAGTCCTGGCAATGAAGCATCCACCAGAGCTGTCTCCTTTTCTCCATCTGTTGCTCTGGGGTTTCTGCATAGCAGAAAGGGGCCCTGAAGATGAATTAGGGGAACAGAGATGGTGGTGCTGGTCAAATCAGCCAGCACGTCAGTACCAGTGGATGTTTGCAGGCAGTTCTCCTCTCGTGTGGCCTTTGAGGGAGTGAGGTTCTGTCTCTCCACCCAGCACCAGGAGCAGAGGAATAAGGAGTTTGCTCTTTCCTGAGGGTTGTGGTGTAGAGCACACAGCTGTGAGGTGTGCCATGCATACCACATGCACTGAGCAGCTAGCCACAACAGTCTGGTTGTGGCTTGGTCCCTGCTGGTCCCTGCTTGCTGGTTCTGTGGCACCTGACATCATGATGTTTTTCACTCGTGTACAGCACTGAGTGCAGACAGAGGGCTAGTGATAGCATCAGATTGCACAGAAACTGGGACGTGAGTCTTGAGTGAGTTCACTGACATCCCTTGTGGGAGGTGAGTGCCTGCTCTCAGCTGGCTGTTGGACTGCTTCCATGTGTGTGGGATGAATCTCCCTTTGGAAGATGTTTGGCTGCCCCTTCTCTATCCTTTCCCATTAGCTGAGAGGCTCCCTGCAGCTATTCAGGGGTGAGTCTATTTTCTTTCTCCTGGGATGAATGTTATGACAGGAGAGATGGGTGATCTGCTGTGCACTGCTTTTCTAGGGAGGTTTGGAGCCACTGTCTGTGGTGGTTTGGGAGAGCAAGTTTGATGTGTGTCTGTCAAAAGTAATTCAGGTTGAGGTGATCTTCCCAGGGGAATGGATTCTTGAGTTCTTGAAGGCCCTCTGAGCTGCAATTCTGTCATCTCCCAAACCCTGGTATCCTTCCTTAGGAAATAAATGGAATTAAGAATGAAGTCAGGCTGCTTTTGTCCAAGCTCGGAGATGTTGTGGGTGTGATGTGCAGGGCTGAAAGGGGAAGTTAATTGGAGCAGGTGCACTTGGCTGAGTTTCCCTCTGGCCTGTACAGCCAGAGCCAGCATTTCCCATGTGCACCTCCTTGCACAGGCTCGTACTTGCCTGTCTCTGGCTTATTCGAAAATGACGACTGCAAGAACAGGAAAAAATCACTTTTAGAAAGCCTTCTTCATCACAGAATGTGCTTTCAGGGGATCCATCAATAGATGCGTATTCTCTGCAGTTGACACATTTATATCTTTGGTAGATGACACCGCTGCGTTCTGAGCCTTTCAGCTGTTTCCAGGCTCTAACGCTGCGCGTCCCACGCGGGCTTGGAGTATTTGTCTAAGAAACAGTGCAGATAAAGAGCGGTCCTTCAGGGCCTTCATGGGGCCTTCCTGAGCCAGCAGCTGCACAGAGGGTGCTGTGCTCCATCCTTTGTGGTGCCCATACCTGCTGTGGGGCTGCCCGGTTTCTTACCATGTATTTCAGGTTTGGCTTTCAGCGCCCTATGGCAGCGAGCTCCGTGCTTTGGGGAGGCTCTGTGAGAAAGGATGCTGTGCCGATGGCCTTAACCCTGCAGCTGCAGGTGTGTACAGAGAGGCAGAGGGGCCATGGCTGGATGCGTCACCCCAGGGCTCAGCTGCCCTCCTGGCAGAACTTGGCTCTTGGCTCCCACGAGCTCTGTTTCTCCTTCTTATAAAGCATGGAGCTTTGAGCCCAGGCTTAACGATGGCACTGCGTAGGCGAGGTGGCTGTGCACTGCTTTATTCTCTGTGCCTGTTGGCATATTCTGTTTGGAAACAGCACCACAGGACAGCAGGAGGTGCCTGAGCCCTTCCCTTTCAGTTTTGTTCCCTTAGTCAATTTACAGCAGACATCACACAATTATTCTTTTTTTATTTTTAAGAGCAACTTTAAGACAAAATACTCCAACCCTTCCTGGCACCGCGTGAGCCCTAACGACTTCTCAACATCTCAGCTCTCGTTAATGTATTTTTCAAACTGCTACCCCGAGTGATTAGACCGTATTGTGGATCAATCACTTGCCAAATTTTAATTAAGAAAGGAGGAGAAAAAATAAACTCCCTCCCCGTTCCAATCCCTTTGCTTTGCTCTATAACAGCCCCGGAGCAAACTTCTTGCAGCAGAGTTTTATAAACCCCTCCAAAGTGGGGTTTATAATGGAAAAGCTGAGGTGGCCTTTACTCCAGCACACGCAGCTATAACACATCAAGGCTTTTCCATGAAGCGATGATGAAAGGAGCAGAAGGACCTGGAAAAAAAAAAAAAAAGACCGAAAGAAATGGCCGACAGGTGGGACTTATTATTGCACAGTGTTTTTATTTCAAGGGAAAAGTTTAGTAACCCCAGCTGGCAGGTGAGCAGTGGGGGGGCACACTCATTTTCATTGTGCCTCTGTGTGTGTGTGTGTACGTGTACAAGTTGGTGTGCCTCTCTGCAAGACAGAAGAGCTGAAATGCTGCTGGCAATAAGTGTTGTGCACTGACATCAAAAGTCAGGTGTAAAGAATGGGGTTCTAAATGATTTCAGTCTAAAAACGAGCTGAGTAATCAGGACTCAGCTCTGAATTTAACACATGTGCTGCTATGGGGAGAGGATGATAGCTTTGTCTATAAGAAAAAGGGTTCCTCCTGGGTACAAACTCATTGTTTTTGCTCAAGCTGTTGAACGCCAGAGGAAGTACCAGGGAGACCCGGGGACCTGGGCCTCTGGTGTTCAGGAAGAGCCCTCCCTGTATTCAGGTAAAGAGCATCCATTGCTATGTGGTCAGGTATTGCAGAGTAACCAAACTGGGTCAGACTGTGTGTTGCTGGGTCCTGCCTTCTGGTGTGGTTGAAAACGTGGCTCTGGAAGCCCACCTGCAGCTCTCAAGTGGGGAGAGTGGAACCCCAAAGCCATCAGCATGTAGTGCAGAAGAGGCTGAGGTCCTGTGGTCAGGCAGGATAAGTCCACCCATCTTCTCTTTCCCTGGGGTGTGAAGGAATTGCAGACCTCACCTTGCTTTGCTGCTGAAGAGAAACCTAGGCAGGGCATCTTTCTTTCCAGAATGTCCCGTGTTGAGCTGCTTCAGCCTGCACAAGGGAGGCTACGTGGGCACAAGGATCACACACCTCTGCCTGCGGCTCTTCCAATCCTCCTCCAGATCCCAGAATGGAGCAGCGTGGTCCTGTGCAGTGTGAGAGGGCATGGGGCAGTGCTCAGCCCTGGAAGTCAGGGCAGCCCCATTTCCTGCACTGCTGGTGCTGGAGATGGACACAGCCTCACAGCAGCTCTCTCTGTCATTTTTCCTATCAGCTGGCTGTCACATCTGCCAATCTAAGGCTGACCCTGATTCTTGTTAACACCCCATTGCTGTCAGGCTCGCTGACAGGCAGCACACCCGCTACTGGTTCACATCATGTACTGCTTGTGTCAGCCTCCTGCTGCCCCACTTGGAGGTCACTTCTTCCAGCTCACCTGAGCAGAGCAGGCCCAGCCTCAGCTCCCCTGTGTGCACAGCATGGGGGGAGCAAGGCAGGGGTTCCTTGGGGCTAGCAACCCCACCTGAACCACTTTGGTCAGCTGACAGCTGTGCTCCTGGTCTGTGTTCTGCCTGCTCAGCCCGGCTGGGGGGTCAGGGAGTGGCCGTGCTGCCACTGCTCTGCTGTCTCAGGCTGAGGGTGAGGTGGTTGGTGCTGTTCCCACAGTGCATCACACTCATGCTGTTGTCCCATCTGCTGCTTGCAGGGTGCCAAGAAGCTCTGTCCCCAGTGCAACACCATCACATCCCCCGGAGACCTTCGGCGCATCTACTTATGAAGGACACAGCAGGAGGGCGGCTCTCAGCTCAGCGCAGCGCACCCACGGGGAGAGGAAAAAAAAAAAAAAAAAGGAAAAAAAAAAAAAAGAAAGACGTTTTAAAAACGTAAGGAAACAAAACCAGAGACTCCAGACACGGACTCGAGGACGCGGGAGCAGCGAAAGCCCCAGCTCCCACCTGCAGAGACCCTCTGCAGCGGGTGAAGCTGACCCCGTTGTTGTGCAGCCCCTTTTTTACAGCAGTGTTCCCCACCCACCACAGCTCGGAGCCCTCCTCCTTCAGACTGTGTTGTGACCACTCTGCCCCAGGATGCTGGGGAAGGGACCCTTGGCAGCAATGTTAAATAACCTGTAACTTGTGTCCTTTGTTCGGTTTTCGTTGGGTTGGTTTTTTGGTTTGGTTCTGTTCCGTTTGGGTTTGGTTTTTTTTTTTTATTGGTTTATTTTTTATTTTTGTGGTGTTCTAGTGATTAAAAAAAAAAAAAAAAAAGGTTTAAAGGAAAAAAAAAAACCCACACCCAGGCAGAAATGAAGCACATGTAATATAGATTATATATGTTTACAATGTTGTGTATAAATGGGATAGACTCAAACATTACATACTAATAAGTTTCCCTTTTTTTCTTTTTTGGGTTGTATTTTTTTTAAAGAAGAAGAAAGAAAAAAAAATGAGCAGAGAACATTAAACCCATATTTTTCTTGGTTCAGCAAAGTTTTGGCATTAAAGTCATTAGTTTAAAAAAAGTATATATATACATATATATAATATAAATGGTTTAATGTTCTGTGGTGTATATTTCCTCATTCAGATATGAAGTTAACAGCTTTTAGTAATGGCTGTAGCATTTCCCATAACTTACAGAACTTATGGGGAGTAGAGGAGGTGGATTTTTGTCATTAGTTGTAGCTAATGGGGCTATTTATAATAGAATCGTTATCCCCGGAACCACGCGGCTCTCAGCTCCCCCCTGGGGGCCGGGGCAGGGCGGGGGGCCCAGCAGGGCGGCCCTGTAGAGCTCTGCCCCAGGCTCTGCTGTACCCCTTCCTCCCCCCCAGGGCACAGGGTTGGCTGGGCTTGGCTTTGCTCTCCTCCCTTCCAGCTCACGTTTTCTGGCTGGAGCTGCTCCATGTGCTGCGGGGCAGAGCTGTGCCAGCCTGACCTCGTGGGTCCCACAGCCCCAGCTTCTTCCACACCATCCCTCCTGTTCGCCCCCATCGCCCGTACCCTCAGCCGTAACCAAAGCTGCCATCTGGCCTCTTCTGTTGTTCCTTTTCATTTTCAGGACCCAAGAAGCAGCTGTTGATCCATTTCCCAAGATGAATGCGTGCTCCCTGCCTCGGCTCCCCTCTCACCATGGGCTCTGCTGGGGGCCAAGCTCCCCACTGGGGATGCTGCTCTCCCGGTACCTGAGGCATCACTCTGGGCAGCCCTGTGCTGGCAGCACAGCCATGCACTCTTGGTTTTGGGCATGAAGCATCATGGCTGTGGCTGGTAAAGGGGAACTGGGACCCCATAGTGTCACTGGAGGAGCACGCCTTGAGCACAGCATGTCCTGTAGGGACACAGCGTGTCCTCGGGGACCCACTGCCACCTGCATGCCATGAGTCTGGTGCTTTTTTGCAGAGTTGTTTTCCCCAGTGCCTCTTGCAGTGCTTTCAGAAGGATCCCACTGCATCCCCCCAAACCAGCTGTGTTCTTTAAGAATTCAGCCCACGGTGTCCGGCTTTCTATGCTCTCAGCAGCCTTTGCCATGAAGAGAGGATTTGCAGCCTTCCCTGCTAGGAACGGTGACAGGTGGACCTGCTCAGGGGGCACCAAGGGCTGGGATTTGGGGGATTCCAACAGAGAACAACTGAGCTGAGGGCACAGCTGGGGTCACGACCCAGTTGGGGTGCAGTGGGCAGATTCCCCCTCCCCGCCCTTCCTTGGAGCCGGGGTTCCTGCTGGGTGTTGCGGACCAGCTCTGTGTACTGATGTGTAAAACCATATGTAACCCATCCTTGTTCCTTCATTTGGGTTCTTTTCTGTTTGGTTTGGTTCTTTTTGGTTTTATGTCTTTATTGTAAAGCCATCCCCTGTTTTGAAGGGGGGAGGGGTGAGAGGGGAGGATGGGGGGGGGAGGCACCGCCTCTCCTGTAAAGATCTTAATCCATTTAAAAAGAAGAAGGAAAAAAAGAAAAAAAGAAAAAAACAAAAAACAAAAGAAAAAGGAAAAAAAATAAAATAAAAGCCCGGAGTTACCTATCTCTGCCCAAAGAACCCAGTTGCACAAAGCGATATTGCGGTGTGTCGATGATTGTGTGTCGGTGTATATTATACAAAGAGGTACTTGTCACTCCCGTTTGTAAACTACATTTGACATTAATTAAACACGTATAAATCTTCGGGGCGCGCCGCCCTGCTCTCTCTGTCTCTCCTTTCAGGGATGAGGGGTGTTGGGGTGGCATCTACCTGCAGTGCTGCATCGCTGCCCCAGCACAGCTGGGACCCCCAGCAGGGGACACATCCCGGGGGGGGTTTCCCCTGTGGGCGTCCACATCCTTGGGCACTCTGCTGGGAGGCCCCCAGCCCCAACAGATCCATAGTGCCGCATTGGGGTCACGGTGTGGGGTTACCGCAGCAGCTGGGGGTGCAGGGGGGGCTGGCGCCGGTGCTGTCGGTGTACAAACATCGCGCAGACGGATCGATGGCTGCGTCCCGCGGGACGGGGTCCCCAAGGCCCGGGGGGTGGGGGTTCTCCTCCCATCTGCTCCGGCCCAGAGGGCGCAGTGAGGGGTGGGAGTGCCCCTACACACCCCACACCCCCCCCAGCCCTCCACCCTCACTGATATTGTATTTGAAATCTCTTTGGGAAGCGGAGGGCGGTGATGTATCGGAGGTGTTATTGAGAAAATGCAAATGGGTAATAGCGGGCGGCGGAGGCCTCGTCCATCACCCTTCTGGGGGATCCATATCTAATTAACGGTAATGAATGAGGGAGCCCACCTAATGACAGCCCGCCGCTTTGTGATGGAAATGAGGCAATCCCATTAGGCAAAACACTTAATTAAACAAACCGCTCGGAGCGCGGCACGGGGCAGGGCCGGCCCTCGGGGTACCGCACGTGGGGACCCCCCGTGGGGCTCTCCTTCCCCAGCGCGATTCCCGACGGGACGCGCGTCCTCTGCTCCTGCTCCACCGCCACCGAAGCAGGCGGGGCTCGAGGTTAATTCCTTATCAATAGCCCATCGGCAGCTCATCCATCACCGGGAGGGCGGGGCTGGGAGGACGTCGGGGTGCCGCTCCCCGCACACCGCACCGAGAGCCGCTGCTGCCCCCTGGCGGTCCGCGCTCCGCCGCCAGCCGGGGCGGCTCCGAGCAACGAGCGCTGACAGCCCGCTTGCCATCCCGGGAAGGCAGCCCTCAGACCCCTCTGCCAGCTCTCACGTATCCCATACACCCTTTAAAACCGTAAGTTTCAACTCCAGAGCCCCTTCCTGCCCATCTCGGGGCAGGGATTTAGAGCTGGCCGCGATGAGCACACGGTGCTGACACGGGGTAACCTCTCACCCTACAGCTGTTCTCTGCCTTTATCCTCCTTCACCCCCCAGTAAACAGCCAAAGCCAAACGTGGCTGAAGTGCAGTGCAAGGAGCTGCCTCCTCGCTATGGGGAGGGTATTTATGCTTTGTATCACCGTACACAGACAGCAAAGACTGGTCTTCCAAAGAGAACATTACAGGGAAAAACACTGAATTTCAAGATCAGCTGTGGGCTAGCTCCAACAGGAAGTGATTTAAGGAACACCCAGTACCAACCACAGCTCCAAAAGACAGTTTCATTTTTCTCTGTGGCTCCACCTTTCAGTTTCTGGGATCTTTTAGATTACAGCTGTGCTGTTTCCCTGCATTTCCAGACCATAGAATCACCACAGTTGGATACACAATCCAAGTTGCCAAGCAGTAATAAACGCTCCCCAAGAAAGCAAAAGTACTGAGAATAACACACAACAAGACAGAGAGTGAACAAGACACATCCAAAAGGTTAACAATTTTTTTTGTTGTTTTTCAAGAACACAAGAGTTACCACAAACATTTGAGGTCTGCCTCAGGGCAAGGGAATCAGTGCTTTGGCTGCTCTCAGAGCTTTTATGGAACCAGACAATGCCAAGAGATGAGGGAAATCTTGCAGAGCTACTTCTGTTTGCTCAATGCAAAATGAAAGAAACAGCAGAGAGGGGAAAAAAACAAGAACACTGCAAAGCTGTATTGTAGAATCAGTACAAGGCCACAGAACACGCACATTGGACAAGGACACACAGACATGGAGAACAACACAAAACAGGAGGAAACAAGCAACACTCCATGTGAAATTGTGGTCCATGACACCTCAGGGCTCAGATTTGCAGCACCTTCAGTTCTTTAAATTACTCCAGATCTACTTTTTGCTATGTTATGGCTGGCTCAAGGAGGCTTTCAGACTTGTAACTGATGGGGAAAAAAAGCACAAAGTCTCTGCTTTCCTCCCTTCAGTGACATAAAGGCAAAGGGAATGGCATTCCCCACACAATCTAAGCAAAGCAGAGGCAAATAAGGGACGCCATTACATCACTAACGAGGCAAAGCCCTGACACAGTCAGACAGGAAAGTCGTACAGAGGGTGCTGTAGTAGGTGGGATACACCCGCATATGGCTGACGTGAGCTGAATCTGTGAAGTCTACAGCCTTCACGGAGACACCGAGCTGCTGCCGTGCGTCAGCCATGTGCTTAACATCACTGGCACTGATGATGGCATCTGCCTGGGAGTAGAGGTAAAGCTCAGGCCACCGGGAGGGTGCCTTCAGCAGGGCATCGTAGTGGCTCTCGTGGATGAAGCGAGTCAGTGGGTACAGCAGGATCCGCAGCAGGACAACTGCAGTAGCAAAAGTGAGCATAAGGAGATACCTGAGCAGCACATTCATGGATGCTAGGACAGTTGCCAAGGCACGAAGGGCTCCTTTCAAATTTCTTCTGCCAGGGGCACTATCAAAAACAGTGCCTGCGACTTTGAGGTTCTTAAAGGGCTGCTGAGTGTGAAGTGCCTCAATGATATAACGGTAGAGCATGACACCACCATTGCTAAAGACGTGGAAAAGCACCGGCCTGTTCTCAATGCTGTAGTCAAAGAGCAGCTCCAGGAGTCTCTTGGCTGGGGTGTTGAGGGATTTGAAGCCAAAGCTCTCAGCGAAGAATATCGTCCTCCATGGAGCTGTGTAGCGGATAACAGTGCACCCCTAAACAGAACAGAAAGAGAACCCACACGTATTTGGTTTGGGCTGTAAATTATATGGAGCAGGCGAGCTGCTGTACCACGAACTAACATTTGGAACAGATTTCCAACAGAAATCACGGGGCCAAGAGACTCTTTAGTGTCATTAGCAAAGCATCAGCATGAAAGGAGTTGAAGTCGATGATCCTCATGGGTCTCTTCTAACTCGGAATATTCTACACTCTATGAATAGGATTATATTAATCATAACAGCACTTATCAAAAGCTTTCTACAACAGCAGCAGGCTTGAATGATGTTCCAGATCCTTTCCAGTCTTCTGTTGTCACCTAAACTCAGTGGCATTACGCACTGACAAACACAAGGCAAAGGCACCAAGGCAGCCCTCCCTCCCATGGCTCCCCTGTCACCGAATTAAGCAGAAGAGAAAATATCAAGTTCTTCAAAACAAGCTCTCTATACTGCCTTGCCACAGTTGCAGCCACTTCCTCATTAAGACTCTAAGAAAAGCTTTCCTATCCTTTCTCAATACCAGCAACTTTCTGACAGAAAAGTATTTCCACAGCAGCTGGCATGCTGCCACATAATGTGAACCTCAACCTAACAGCAGCATCTCTTAGTTGCAATAATTGCTTAACAATTAATTCTTCACCAGAACCAGCCAATTTGTGACTCTCACATTGGATTACACATTAACAATACACTTGTTTATGTACAAATTTAACCACCTGTAGTTGAAATAAGTTTGGATAAATACAAGATTCTTGTATGCTGACCAAACCAATTAAATAGGTCCCAGTACCACAAGCTGGGGACATTCCAGTAAGATAAACTATTAGAAACAAAGATACCATAATTATGGCAACGTATTTGCCATAATTTAAAGAACCAGCATCTAGACAGACCTCTAGTTCAAGTTGCTAACAAGCAGGTATTTCTGTCACAGGGCGCCTGTTTCTGACAAGTTACAACAAATTTGAATGGATGTTTATATGAATTATCAGTGCAGAAAGGAAAAGCTGGAAGAACAAAAGCTGCTGATACATCTGTCATGCCCCAGCCTGGCCTTGCAAAGTCCATGCTTCAGCCCATCAACAAGCAGTAAATGTATTGCTTTTCCTAACGTATTTGCCTGCTTAGACAGCTAATGTAGTTAACTTTAAAAGCCCCAGAACACTCCAGTGATTCACATAACCACAGACAACTTCTCCAAGGCAGTATTTTTATCTCAGCTGCATGTACAAAGATGACATCAGCAGCTGTTAGGTAACACTGCTGCTGGACACAAGGAGTTTCAAAGGACAACAAGAGCTCACATCTAACAACGTCAGACACAGAGGGCTTAGAGTGATTTCACCAACATGCAGCACAAACACAGCGTAGAACAGGGACAGTGTCCCCAAGAGCTGTATGACAGTGCCACGAAAGCAGAAGCAAGCTGCTCACCTTCTGACTGTACATTGCACTGTACTTGGCCAGATGCCTGTCCTGGCAGCCTGCCCAGCCCAGAAGGATCACCACGGGCTGCCCATCTGCGTGCCCTTTCTCCGTGCTGCTCCCTGAAACGATTTTAAATTAATTAGCCTCAAGTCTGTCAGGACCTGAAGGTGACAGCAACTTGCCTGGTGACAAAGCTGAACGTAACGGCTAACAGGCGGCTCCCCAGCCCGCTGCGAGCAGCTCACGGCTCCTGTCCGGGCGAGCACAGCACTCTCAGGAGCACCACAGGCCCCATTAACCTCCGCACCCCCAAATACCCCTACGGATCCTCTAACACGGGTCCCAAACTCCCCCACCTCCATGAATCCGTCAGGTTCAGCCTTTCCCCCCCCATCCCCCAAATCTCCTCCCGGTCCCTCACCGCGGGCCGCCCCCGGCGCCAGCTCCACCGTTGCCTCCAGTCCGCGAGCCCCCATCGCAGCCCGCTGCCCGCCTCACATCCACCCGCTGCTTCCGCTCTCTCCACCGGAAGCTCCGCCCCCCCACGGCTCGCAGCCAATAAGAAGGAAAAGCACCTCCCCCGCGCCATCCTTCTTCCCCTCCCCTCCCCGCCTCCCACTTCCGCAGCAACGCGCCCTTAGCAACAGCGGTGGGTCGGGCGCCCCGCCTACCGGGCGAGACGTCTCCCTCCTATTGGTCCGATAGAATGCCGCAGCGTGCGAGGATTGGCTGGACTAAGTGTCAGTTATTCCGCGGGTGTCCCCCCCCATCTCGGGAAGGTGAGGGCCTCAGGGTCGGGCGGGCTGTGAGGGGCCGTGAGGCGGGCGGGCTGTGGAGGCGGGCCGTGGGGCGGTGATCGTTTCAGGATGCGTTGTAGCATCGAATTAACGACCGTTATGTCAGCAGGGGTTGTTACGATAGCAGCCAGGGACTGATGGACCAGTGCATCCCCAGCAGGCTGATGCAGCCCTTCGTAAGCGCGTTTTCCTTTGCCGTGGCTCGGCGGGCAGGGCCTTCGTGCCACCGCAGCCCTCACGTCCTCAGGATGGTGCTGCTATTTCTGAACAGCGGCTGTGAGCGTGGCTTTCGAATAGGAGGACAGCGTTATACCAGCGGCTTCTCCAGCATAAATATAGAAGCCTTAATTTAGAATCAATTTGGGGACGTTTCAGGCTGTAAAGTTCTCTTAACAAGATCTCTGCCGAGGACAGAGCAGCTCTTTATGGGACTGTAAATTTCATGCAGACGGTCCCTGTGAAATGCAGGCTCCCTCTGCTCACTGGCTGTTCTCTCCATATCAATCATGCGCCTTGCAAGTAACGTTTCACAAATATTCTGTAAATCACAGGAAAATGCTTGCAGTAATGTGAAATATGACTTTCACTTGACTGTTTCACCAGAGGCCCCTAACAGGCCATTCTCCTGTCAGCACTAACATTTGTTATGGCTAATAACACTTTCAATCACAACTATTTTGGGAAAATGGATTTATTTTCAACCTGCTTCCCCGCAAAGGAGATCCTGAGAACGCCCTGCCAAGGACACGGGCTCTTTGCAGAGCACAGGCCGTTAATTCCCAAATGAAATTTCATCTCATCGTAGTTCTCAGTCCTCTTAGCCAACTTTCTGAAGTCTCTGTTTGTTTGTTTCCCATGGCCAAGATGCATTTCCACCTCACAGGTACTGTTTTCAGGCAGCTTATGATAACAGCAGTAGGAAGTTATTTTGGGGTGTGTGCTGAGTGCACACTCACGTTGGTCAGGGTGGGCTGGGGGGATTTCATACTGAAATAAAAGTGTGGCAAAGTAATTCGGTAAAGTGCAGATTGCTTTATGGGATTAAAGACAGTGCAGACAAGGGGTGTTTCTGGATCTCCTGCTTTCTTCCACAAAGCTCTTATTATTTCAGATATTCATAGCTTTTTCATGATGCACCATTGAAAACTCAGAATGAGCACATAGAAATTAGACGACAACAAAACAGAGCTAAAGTCCACCGTGCTGAAGGTCCCCAGGCACTCTCCCTTTGCCACGATCAAACATGTCCTGCTGGAGTGGATTTAGGCCCAGTTCAAACAGCTCAGTGCACTCACAGGAGAGTCACACTGCACTACCAGGCATTGACCATTGACCCTGTCACTCCCCATGAATCCACACCTATCTGTGCCCTCATGTACCCTACTTACTTTTGGGTAGGTCAGATATGAGAGGTAGTGTTCTTGTTGTGAGGCTTGCAAGAAACCAAAGAGGGGAGAATTAGTAACATCAAAATGACTGTATTAACACAGCAGAAAAGAGAATGTATAAAGGAAAATGAGATACAATTAATGGCTAGAATTCCAGACATCTTCAATATGATGGTAGTTCCTTAATACAGATTATTTTTTTCCTACTTTTAAGGCCTTTATTAAACTCCTTTCTCACTTTTCTCCAGGCAGAAGAGATCATGACATCTGTTAAAGAGCAGGAGGCCATCAGGAAACTCATGATTTTCCTGCAAGAATGGGACAGTGCTCACAGAGTTGCTCGAAGCCACATCCTAGACAACTTCATTAGAAGCAATAATGGCAAGACAGAACCAGAGCTAGAGCTGGAGTTCTCCCAGGGAGCCAGCTTGTTTCTGGCTCGCCTGGCAGCATGGCTGAGGATGACGTATCTGTTTCCTTGAAAAGCTGAAGGTGGAACATGGTAGTGGGATGGAGAGGAAGGGAAAGTTCTCTACCAAAAAAAAAAACCCAAAAAAAAAAAAACACCTGTATGA